TCTGTCCTTAATTTATGGTTTCATAGTTATAGCTAGTATTTTTCTCTCTGGCTTTCTATTGTATATTTTCGTAATTAAAGTTTAAAGAAGTTGTGAGCTCTAGTTTGTTTTAATATTTGTCATTCTTTCCTTTTAAGGTAAAGCATCGATAAATATACTTATTTATCGAACAATACCATTAAAAGGTTGATCAAGTCGAAGTGATTGACAAATATTTAATAAATTCTCCATCATTCTCGCCTTTTAGCTACACCGGATCAACACGTCTAGAAAAATGATTCCTCATTATTCTACTGCAAGTACAGAGTTTTCTAGATATTGCAAGTTATATTGGAGAAATTAAATTTGTAACAATGTGATGCATTTTCCGTTTAAATTCCCATTTTGTATTATATAATTTACTCTCAGATGATACAAATCATATGTAGAGAATCGTATCGCTAGGTGGTGCTTTGTTTTATGGATAACTAAGACTACTACGTGATTATAAAGGTAACTCTATGGGCGTAACTTTCATTCGCTATTTATTCATCAAATATTGTCAGGTAAATGATGCACAAACATAACATAATACTTCACTTGAATCGATAGAAAATCTAATTACAACATGAAAGAAGAGCGATTTACGTATTTTTTCTTATACGAGTATTGTTGAAATGAGAAGATTGAGGGAGATAGGATTTCAAGATATACAGGTACATATGCAAGAGGGATCCGCTATTTCATTGGAAAATTGTTTTAAAAAAATCCATCAGAAGCAGTTACCTTGGTGTAACAATTTGGGAAATCTTAAATCAATATCGATTATATTACCAATATCGTAGCTGATTGATTTTGTTTGACTAGAAGACGATGAAAGAAAGTCCTTAACCCACACATTTTATTTGCAATCATATATTTTAAGTAATTCGAAAGTAATCAATCTCTCAAGCTACTTTCAATAATTATAACTAGCCAAATTTAATAAATGCAATAGTTGACTTTAGTTGCATTATATCTACCTCCTGATGTCGAAAAACTTTTTAATCTCTAAATAATTTAATTATTGCAATACTTGCAAGGTATTTTTATGGAGATTTTACCACAGGAAGTGATACTGTCAATAATTTTGTAGACGTAATGATAGCAACATCTGTTCAATCCTTGGCTAAGAATAATATTTCAGCAATAATAGGAGTCACGACTATTTTACCAAGAAGTTAAGCAAGTAAAGGTTGAAATATAATTTGTTAAAAGACAACAGCAATTTCCCTTCCTGTTGTTGTGAACACACTTGTATACCATTCTTGACGTTATGATTGAGAGTTTCACCCTTGATGAACGCTGATTGCAATTGTCAATACTGGTAAGTTCTTTAAAAATAAATCTGTTCATTAATATGTTACAGGTAGGCTATTCATTTACCCCGTTCACAAATACACTAAAGACGAAATTTCTTGATGACTACCTTCCGTTCTGTCTGCTTAAATTGATTAGTAATTACGTACCTGATTTAATTTTTCTGTTACAATACATGAATAGTAGTTACCACTAGCGTTAAATACCATTATATGATACTAATGTTAGACGATGATGAGGTAATTGTCATTTAGTATACTCTAAACAAATGACTATTATTAGTAGGTGTCATAATTTAAACTCTGCGACGAGGAAACGTAAAGTAAATGTCTATAGGTAACTACTGTCTTAAATGCTATTTTACTAGACGTTAAACACTGGCAGCAAAGTACCGTAACGATAGAACTTCTATTAGCTTAGACACATCTACAATTTTTCATAACTTAATTTAACTTAAAATATTCCCATTTATATAGGAACCGTCTATGACTTGTAAACAGTAAGGGTATTATTATTATCAGACATTAATAGTAAATTCCTCGCTTATTATACTTCGCGTACTACAGTATAAGTAGAATAAAACTATACAGTACTGGCTAAGCCGCTGCTACTTTTATAATATGATGACGACTAGAAGAGTCATCTCAAACTGAGATATTCATTACATAGCTTTTCTATCAGTAAATACTTAATCTTAATCTAAGCATGTATGCTACCTAGTTCGACTATCATTAGCTAGAACTTGAATCACCTTACTACTATTAGCATATAATAACAATTAATATCAAATATGTTGTGAACTATAGCAAATAATATCCACATTAAAGCATTACTTATCTTAACTAGCACTACAAATAGGAATATTTTGCACATGAGCTACTGCTGTACTATTAAACTGTCCTAACGTTAAGGTAACACAGTAACAGTAGGATGGTAAAATGATAGAAACAACGTTTAAATTTATTTTATTCACTAATGACATGACACGGGATATAAAGATATACTAGTAACGTCAAGACTATCAATTCTCATCTTTACAAAATTAATCGCCACATCGGAAAGTTTACGTCTTTTTGAATAGGATAATTTATTCGTACTATACTATAAAATTAGACTGTATTAAAGAACAATAAATTTTTTTAGCTTAAATCTAACTCATATTCTTGTGTCAAGGAATAAAATTCTTGCCTCTATTTTTCTAAATTTGGTTCAAAAGATGTTGGAATATAAAGATTATCGAAATCAGAATCATCATGGCCTTTAAACTCTAATTAAAGGCAAATACTTAAATCTTATGTGATCATTTGCTAATACAGTCAGTAGATAAATTATCCGCCTTTAAAATTATTTTGTAGCATATTTTGATGTTTCCAGTTGAATATCAGGTTGAATGGTGAAAAGAATCTACAGAGTAAATTATATCCGTAAAAGTAAGCACACATTACTATGATATTGCTTTGATCACTTATAGTATAGAAATTATAATTGATAAAATATAGGTTTTAAGTTATATACTAATAATGTATTCAGTATTTGTATGTTACTAAGATTAAAGAAGCCGTATATAATATAATTTTAGAACATCCTTTCTATAGCAAAAATTATTCACTTTAATTAATTATTGGTTTGAATGTAGTCGCGTTAATAAAATCATCTTAAATAGCTGTTTACTTTTATTTAAAATCATAGCTATTATCTACAAGATCAAAATAGATTCGAAAAATAAAACGAGTACAAATTTTATCAAATATGATTAAGTCAATACTAGGTTTCTTTGAATAGATTAAATACCAATTTTAATATTATTTACGTCACAAAAAAGGTTTATGAACGGTCATTGTCAATTTTTTATTCTATCTTAGCCTTGACGTCATTAATGTGCCTGTTCAAATTGTATTACTATTCAATTAATTAATTGTTAGATAGACTTTATTATGATTTTAAAAGGCTAAGATTTTAACGAAAGGAAACATGAGTTAAGAAGTCTAGACTAACATGTCGTAGTTGTTTTTACATGATATAATACACCATTTTATTTCGATTCTATTATATCAAGGGAATCCACTAATTCATGCCATACAATAAATGGAAAAAATTTCAATCAAACTAAACATTAAAGTGTCGAGAATGCTATTTATGGTCACTAATAAAAGTAGTGATGTTGTAATTTAGTATTTCCAAAATGGTGAAAAATATCAAACCATTATTTTTCCGGTAAATTAATTTGAATATTATGTGACAGCAAAAGTTAAATTATTCGTCTGAATATCATATTAGCTCTTCTTTACATTATTTATAGATCAGTATTTATTGCTTCTGAAGTTAGCTGTACTAAAGTATAGAAATATAGATAGTGTGCTTTGAATTAAATTAGTTTGTTGATAGGAATTACTCTGCTTTTTATTTTAATTGTCAGTAAAATCAAAATTTCCATCTTGTTTGAAGATATAAAGGCTAAAATTTATAAAAAATAAAGAATTGCAGTATGTATATATATTAATAGAACACTCGTATTCATCACAATTTAGAAGGGTTTACAAGTACGGGCTTCCTTTGATTGAAGCTGTTAGTGACGAAATAAAATTGAAGGCCCTTTCGTTATAAGAACACTCTAAATTAGTTGTTTTAATATGATAATACGCGTAGAATTATTAGCTTTACGGGTATGATTGCCATCTTTCAATAAATTAGCGAAATGGCTGCATTGACGGTAGCTATTGTAGTCGTACAATTGTAATGTAATGCACTAGCAAAACAGAAGACCAACAACTACTTTAGGAAGAATAAGAAAGAACTACTAATGAGTCCAGATAATGAAGCTAAATGCGCATAAGTTCAATTGCAATTAATCGTAAATATCAAATTAAATTATTTATCTCAACATTACTTTTGTCATATACTGTGCTTCAAAAGTGTAGTATCAATGAGAACTACAGAGAACTACATTCGGATTTATTAACTTATCAAATGCGTAATTTCAGTCAATTTTCAAATCGCAAGATGATCTATTACTACTATATTATGTGTCATCACTAGCTAGTGAAAATGTTAACTGAACATTATTACGTCAACTTTGATAGCAGAACAGTGCATGTGGTATTAACGTTTCGAGATTTAGCAAGAATGCTTGTAAGCAACTGTTTCACGTATAGTGAAATTTTCTAATTCTATGTTGCTACCAGGATTGGTGATAAAATTTTCGCGAGATCCTCGTCAGTTATCACCCATTTTGGTTTCATATCAAAATAACGAATATGCTTTATAAGGTTGACTAACTTAAAACTTCTATTAACGCAGAAAATGAAATTGAAGTTAAGAATGGTGTTGAGGGTAGCTTTTAAAATGGATTCAATCTAACATGGAAATTTAAGACTATTTTATTTTTCATTTAGCATAAGAACAAGTAAATATACATATATCCCGGTATATAGCTGGTGCAACTAGCAATTAATCGGAATATAAATCAATTAAAATGAAATGGTTGTATCTATGATCAAGACTGCAGATATTATCAAAGACTATTATAAGCCGTTTTCTAAATTTGTATCTCATAAAAGTACTATCGTGCTATGTGCTTATGCTACATAAAAATCTAAAGGGTTTCAATCTAAACGTAGAGTATATTCATTTTACGTACAAATTCAATGAACGTTGTTCATGATTTAACTGCTAATCCATTTCTTTATCAATTTAGCTTCCATTTTCCTTGCTTTAATAACAGATGCAGGGTCATTTTTATTTTTACCTCTAATAGTATTCAATAAAAATATAAAAGTAAGTAAGTGAAAATTTTTACTACTTACACGAACATCCTCATAATAGCTGTATAATATCTTTACCTGAGATCCAGATGATGAGCTCCGTGGGGAATCTGGATAGCGACTAGGCTAGATGATGGGGACTTTAAGATCTATGATCATACAAACGTACAAAAGAATCGATGGTTTACAACATTATCCCAAATATCTAGACAGGACTATTTTCAAGCTACTGGCCATACAAGATTATTCTGATAAAATTGAAGCATAACACGATTTGCATTTAATGGTATCAGTAAGAGTAAATATCAAAATTATGAGTCTCTAAAGTAATTGAAGATGTTGCGAATAATATACTTAATTATTGTTTATATAGTATAATACTTACGCCGCCATTCTTCCATGGATCCAGATTTCCATTCGAGAAGATAATATTGCTCGCTCCTTTTAGTCCTGAATTCAGAGAGTATTCATTATCAAATTTCAAATAGATTTGTTTATGAACTCGAGCAAATTACTAAATGCTATTTGGAATACTAAAGAAGAAAGTAAGCTCAATCCAAAGATCTTACGGTTTGCCCAAAATTGAGTTGCAACCCAGTTAGGCCTTGGCGTGACGCCATACTTTTTAAGGCAATACTGCTTTCTTATTTTGGATGTAAAGGGTATCGGTGGAAACATGTCAGTTTTATTATTTGTACTACCAGGAAGAAGGATTTCAGTGCAAGCCTAGATAGAGTGAACATCAAATTGCAAAATCATTAAGAATTTGTCTTATTTACTAAACTGAAATGTAGCATAGCATATTTCGAAGCAAGTCTAACATTACCTGATAATCCCAAGGTATAGCAGAGGCACCTGTTCCGCATCCTGTTGGGTCTGCACAGTGCACGTACTGTTTGTAGATATCATGACATTTTTTGCTTCCATAAAAAAGCTCTTATGTGATAAATAAACCATTACAAGAGATTTGTAAGTTGACCGAAAGTCATGGTCTATTTCTACAAGCTAGTAAAGTTAAGAATTGTACAGGACTTTGCAAATTTACTTACTCATAGCTTTAGCCATTCCTTGTATAGGGTGGCTAGCATTTACTATATATTTGCAGGAAGCCTACATTGAATAAAACAAACTACGATGTTATCCTAATAGTTGGATTGATTCTTTCATTATTGAGTTGAATACTGCTTAGAAGGCAGCTATGCAATAGGTTTCATACATTAACAGGAAATGCAGGAAGTGGACCAAAAAAGGATGCTGGATAAGGGTAATCTCCCATAGCCATGGAAACAAAACCGTTTCGAATCCATCCAATTAATTGTTTAACCTAACGCATTTGAATCGATTCGATATTATGAAAGTTTGTATAATTCAAGCATTTTAGTCAAGTATGATTTGCAAGATACTGTTACTATAGGAATGACTAACATCAGCAGAGGTCTTCAGCTTGTTGCAGACATTGAAAATTTTAGCGACTTTTTGCTTACCTAGTAATATTCGTTTACCAAATCAGTAATGCATTCGTAGACAATCACTATATCCAATATCAATTACTACTCTTACCACTTTTGGACTTTGCCATTTCTAGCACAGCGCTAAATGCTTTTCGGATATTAGGAACACATTTAGGATTCGCATCTTGGTAATCCTATAGAAAAATTACTGTAATTTTAGTCAAATCTGCGTATAGTTATTAAATTTAGCAACAATCCTTTTTTACTATAATAAATCGCTGCACAGTCGCCATAAAATGCAAATGATTAGCGTCTAAACGGGGTAAATAAGAATAAACACGGACAAATTGCCTAACTATTTTTTATGTGGAGAGACACTATACACGCTATGATTTCTTATTGTGGTAACAAGTAATCTATCGTAGAGGTTTAAGATCGTTACTGTTTCTAGTAATGGAAATATTTATTTCGAAGTTTTGCATACACGTTAACCTTATAATAATGGCGATCTAGATAATCGGAATCAACTTGATATCGCAATTTATTCTACAGAGATAAAATGTGAAAACTGTTTTGCTGTATAGTATTTATCGAGAAGATAAAGTTCAGGGTAGTACTACTGCGCTGTATCAGTATAGTCAAATTATTTACTATTCAATATACTGAATAATATATGAAGTTTTTACTTGGACCGACAACTTTTTAAAAGCATTATACTATACATAGTTTACATTTATCGGATTATTAATCATTGGCCAATACGATACATTAGTTCTATTTCTTGCTAAAGATACCTTGGTTACTGCTGGAAAGAAGAAGTTTGGGGAAACAACTCCACCTGCCATGTAAAGTGGAGCGCTCGCGGCTAGTCCAGCATCAATAATGTTAGGGTATTTCAGTCTCATCCAAGCAGTTAACATTCCACCATAACTGCCTCCGAAAGCGACAACTTTGCATTTATTAGCATTTAATGATTTCTTTAGGCTAGTCAAGAGGACAGCGTAGTCAGCTAAGGCTTGCTCTGATGTTAACAATCCTAGATTCTTTGGTTTGAAGGAATCCTTTCCAAATGGCAGAGATTTCCCGTAATAGCGCTTGAGAAAAGTGTATAATGCTTATTACATAAGTCAATAATATAGTACGAATGTACAAAGGAATAACACAAAGTTATGATGTACATAAGCTACATTAAATTATTTTACTCAATAGTACGTATATGACCTAAATTTTCTCCAATTTTAATGATCATTATGGTTTTTAAAGTATCATTTAGAGCTACTTAGGTCTGGCTTTAGATGCTAAGGAGCTATCTCTACTGTTATAACAGTATAGGTTTGATTGAATAACTAAAGCGTGACATACTGCTTCGTAACTGGAAGTATAAGCAACTTTAAAAAGCCGTAATGGAATTTCTCAGTAGTAGTCCAGAGCTAACTGCAGCCTTAATAGCCGAACTACAGAAGCATCATTACTAGGACTGGGTATTAATTTTATACTAAATCAGATGTTATCGTTACGGAAGCTACAGTACTTTCAACAAACTGCCTAGTACTTACGTGCTCGCCAAATACAATCAAAGCACGAAATTGCGGTGCTAAATCAAACAATAATCCGCTGTTTTGCCAGAACCCGACAATGCCACCTTCATTACCAGTATAAAAAAAGATTGGTCCAGTACCTTTATCCCAATGATCATCTATATATATAATATATAGGAAGCAAAATTGAAAAAGTTAGTACCATCATCTGGTACAGTATGGACTATGCGCGTGATACAATCCTGTAGGATTCGAATAACGGTATACGAAATAAGATGATGAAAGCGATCGAGTTCAATTTCACAATTTCAATAACAGCATTAAGTCTCTATCGTACTATAGTATATGGTTCTTAATATATATGTTATATATACTATATATACATATAGTACTTTACAACTTCAGATGTATGTGGTACAATACTTCTCTCATATACTTTAATTCATGATTGGATGTACCGTGTATACTCGTAGTAAGTTAATTAGATTAGTTTAAGGTTTGGACCTGAAGAATTAGTATTAACGTTTACCATCAAGCCTAACACGTACCTTAACTATACACTAACGAATGAAATTTTAATGATGAATACTCTCCGAGCCTCGTTGCTAACGTAGAGCAATATATTGTCTATGTCTCTACAACTGCCGTTAGGTAGTATACAGTATAGGTAGACTTTAAGAGTCTCCTACACACTTACACAGTAGTGCAACTGATGTTTCTTCATCATTTTCGTACTATGATACACACATGATTGTGTCAAATGATAGCTCATCAATCTTATCATATTCCAGTCAATCAAAGCTGTAGATTAGATTAGCATAAGTACAGTATATTGTCTTAATTAAGGTGGATCGCATTCTATCGAAGATCAGCTTAATAACAGAATGAAGTATGATTATCATCTAATAACTTGTTTGCAAAGATGGACACTCAGTGGAAACAATAGCAACATGTTTCACGCAGATTGTGTTTAGATTAGGGCTCATCGGTGGAGATGGATTGTACGAATATCTATGGAACAGTATCAACTGATGCCATGTACACTTGTACAGAGCTTGCAACCATGCGATATGCCTATAACATCAGTACATGATGATGATGCCGTCGAAGTATCTCGGCAGCACACTAGGCCAGTATAAAAATTAGTCGAGAACAAGTTTTGCAAAGTGCCAAGCCAATCACAAGCTATTCCTTACCGTTCATTAAGTATCTCTGTCGGTACGTTGCATTGCTTTTCCAATCAAAGTGGTCAATAATTTGATCGAAGTATTTAGTTTTATATTTTACAGCGGCTTGAGTACCCTGTGCTAGCAGAGTGATGATGACGAGACTTAGAACAAGTCCGCGAATGCACTTTAACGCAGCCATGGCCATGACTTGCTAACTTGAGAATGGCTTTAGTCAAGCTTGACAGGTTACTTTAAGCTACGGCTGTACCCAGTACACGGAAGTGAACAGTAGACCAGTACAAGTACTATATGCCAAGGTACGACACAGCACTGTCCATACTGAACGATACTACCATGGGTACTACTATCTTTTTCAATTGCTATGTCTATATGTTATATATATACAGTATGTCGTTTACCTTGTAGAAAATTAGAATCGATCATTTTGCAAAATGATCGACTATCAATACGGTAAACGACATATAGGTTATATTAATTAATCCCGCAGCATGAGTCCTATATTGCTAGAGCGTAGAGGTATCATTCTCTAGAGGTTCGGGATTGTGGAGGTCCATGACGATGCCTAGATTTTGTCTTCCACGAGAATGTCATGTGATCATGCTTGGTACTAAAGAACCATAATGGAAATAGTTGGAAGACGAAGAGTGGCTATGGATGTTTTGAGAGGCCATTTTAGAAAGTGATTGAGTACGCTATTTGCCTGCTTGAATAGAAACGAAATTGTTGCAACTGTATGAGCAGACGACTTGATAAAGTGAATCTACTTAGTATTTATTTTACTTGTACTACCTCAACATCGATTGATTTATTGTCATGTTAGTAGTTTACAGCAAAACCGCCTTTACCCTCTGAGAAAACCATTTTCTATACAGTATACAGTACACAGAATGAGTAATCGAGTATGCAATAGGTAGACTCTGTGCTCTAGCATCTTTCACTGCCTCCTCCATCAATATCGAGTTGTTACCTTACGTATATCGACTGTTTACCTTAATACAAATTTTCGACACTGATCTATACTAATAATTATAATAATTATCGATGCTACTCTTCGTTATGTTCTCTATCGCGACCCTAGGTCAATCATGCAATACTCGGTTAGACACTGCAAAGTAGCTTAATGCGTGGAGTCCACTTCTTTATTCTGGGTTGCCTTTCCCACAAGTGATATAAATATATATTACATACATATTAGTAAATTACTAGTGAACGTATCAATACAGCTACGGTATTAGTATTATACGATTATCTTCTCAGTTAGGCAGCTATGCAATATGTCTGCCCTAATTCCTAGACATTACCAGTCTATCTATCATACATAACACGCTTATGCAAAGCTGTTTTATAAATATTGCACTGCAAATTCTTTCATTCCTGTACCAGTTTTCACCGAACCAAAACCCTCTGCAAGCTTCTGAGTTGACTGCCAGACCGACTTCCTGACATACTGTACAGTATAGTGCTGCAGAGGACAATCCTAGATTCTAACATACAGTACAGTATTCTAGTCGAGATACAGTACTATACGTAGGGCCGTCATGGACCACAAGTACTTACTTGATATGGACATGATGCCATGCATCGGTAGGTATCCTTAATACTGTGCTCGACGGTAGTCTGCATCATCAATGCAACCAAGTTTCAACATGTCGCTAGAAATGCAAGCTAATAAAGTCCTCCATGAGTTGCCAGCTTCTGACGATAAGTTAGTTGTTCTTCATCGACTAAATGTTATTGTAAAACAAATGAATGAAAATGAAGTCACAGATCTGGTGCACCATCATCGATTAGATAACCTCATTCAATGCCTATCAATCAACGATAGTATTATTGTTGGAGAATGTGTGCAAATATTACAAACGCTTTTCAATCAATCTCCGATCGATTTCACTTTTCATCAATATAAACAGCCATTAATGCTTGGCATTCTGCATGAAATGAGCTGTGTACGTGAATTATCCCTATCTTGCCATATTGCTACAATAAAAGTAGGCTATAGTGATCCAGTGAAGGATTTTGTTAAACTCGTTATCAATCAAGGGATATCAAATGATCTTGTCAATGTGGCATCATTTTCTATCAAGTCCTTACTTGCCATAGCGCGTTGTGAGAGTGACGGACTTGAATTAATCTTTAATGAAGAAGTTATATCCGATATTCAAAGATTAGATTGGGATAACGATACTTTAAGATTTCGAATTTATGAATTATTCATTAATATCTTATCTATATCACATCGAGCGATGACACTGTCAATGAATACTAGTATCTTAAATAAATTGATGCATGAATTAGAAAGTGATGATCCGCTCTTAAGGATGAATTGCATTGAATTCTTGATTCAGTTACAGCAAACAACTTTTGGCTGGCATTATCTTCAAAGTTTCAATATTTTATACACTCTAAATAAACTACTTGTCGACTCAGCGAACGACCCACTATCATCATTTATAGTACCAAGTGAGTATGTAATCGTATCATCGTATCGTATTAATCATAATATTGCTACAATGATAAAATACGTTTGTTGTTTGAATATTTCCATTGCTTAAATACAGGATGAATAATTGAACAATATGCTTGTATACTTCCAGTATCTTAATTGTAAATCTGCAGTTATTTTATTTTACTACAGACCATATCACTGTGATAATTGTATTTTAAAATGTACATGTTATTTGTAGGATGATAATAGATTTGTACGGTTATAATTATTATAGCTTAAAAAGTAAGTTTAGACAATCAAATTCGTTTAAAGTTGTTGACCATTATTCATCAATCACATAGCATACGCTTGGGATACTATGACTAGTGCAGGATCTTAAGTGTACATGTTTGTGTACTAAAATAAATGCATCACATGCCTCAAGGATTAAATTCATCTATGATATGGGAATTATTGAACATTTTACTACTTTTTCATTTGACTTTTAAAACAGGAATATTGGTATTCTATGGTCACTTAACTCACTCCTCAAGTACCGTAAATTTTATCGAAGTGAATGAAAAATATCCAACTTTCATGGAAGTCACAGTGTCTTCCATCTTATCTAGAGATCAAAGTATATTAAATATCGCTCTCGATACTTTCGGAGCCATTGCTTCGTGCAATCAAGGGCGTCAGTCCTTATTAAGTATATGCAAAGAACAACAAATCCATAAGGTCATGAGCAGAATAGGCGAAATAGTTACTACCGAAAACACTTCCACCCGTTTACGAGCTCTGGATGCCTTATCTGAAATTTATCGTAATTTTCCAGATGAAGTACGCCACTGTGCCTGTAAGTATAATGGGTCTTTTGTAAAAACTGGTTTTAATAGATTATTTTAATTTAGTTTTATAATATATTTGGAGCTAGCGATACTAATGATGATGACACGAAATAAACTAAGTACTGTAAGAGACATAGTATGAAATGTAATTGTAAGATGTTTGTTCCGTAACTGAAATATTTATATCATTCACAAATGTGGTACTCTTACAGTAAATTGAGTAGAAAAATGATCAGTTTGACACCTGTATCTTTACCTATACCTTAATCCTTTACTGAAAGCGATTACAGCCTGTAGCGCAGTCATTTGCCACGATCTTAGTCCTGCTGTTGTAAGACTTAAACAAGATTTTGTTTTACGCGATATAAAGTAGAGTTGACTTTTTTAGGTCTTCAAGACTGGTACGATGCATTAAATCCTTCCGTTGCTTCAATGCTACAAAAGTTAAGCAATCAACCATTTCCAGATATTCGATGTGCCGCTCTAAAATTATTAGCAAATTTAGCACAATTTGAGTGGACACAAAGAGATATTAGTCGTCAGCCGGGCATGATTGAATTCATATTAGATCGCAAAGTTGAGCAAGACAAATCCTGCTTAGAGGCCAAATTTGACATTGTTGTTGTATTAACTGAATCTAAATATGCGATTGAGGTCTTTGGTGGCTCTATGTATGTAGAATTGCAGCAACATGTAAAAGAGGGTCCTTTCTTTGTTCTTGGAGAAGCAAACGTAGCCATGGAAGCAGAATAATTACTGTATACGGAAAATGTGTTAGTTAATCTTACTAAAAAATAACAAGCGCTAAATAAAAACCTCAGATAGAATACCGTTGCGGTACTGAAATTGATCGCATTATTTAAAATCTTACAAGTACCGCAGTAACTAGCTTCTAATGTATTATCGTATTATTACTAGAAACTCGTTTCACAAAGTTATACCGTTACTTTATCGTCGAATAAAAGTATATCATTCTATGCTTTATTTTATTTGTTTACCAGCCGAATTGTCATATTCAAGGAAACTTCGACTAAAAAGAAGCTTCGTTATTGTTCTTCACGTGTAATAAAAATTTTTATTGATCATATCGTACGTATATCTTTATTAGGCAACAAATTTTTTTAAGTTCGCGTTACATTAAGTCGTAAATATACAGTACAGTGTGATAAAACTAGGATTGAAGATTCATACGTTTGTAACCCTTTTATTTTAAACTCTTTTATTGCCTGTGTGATGTCTTCAAGTAATCACAAACTACTACTAGAAAACTACCTGTTCCGCTGAATAGTTAAGCCAGCATGATAGTTTAAATTTAGTACTTTAAATTCCTAACAGGCGAAGGAGGAAAGATACGACTACTTCAAAATAATCGTCTTGGTCGTCATAATTAACGTTATAGGATAGATTTTCAATAGGATGTGTTACCATGTGGGCAGAACTTAATTCTCTTACGATGAAGCCGTACAATTTCTTATTTTGCGAATTTTGATCAATAAAGGTATTGCTCACGTTTTTGGGTGCAGTATAGGAGAAATCTTATTTATTTTTACGCAGACTTTTAAATTCCCGGAATCCGGCACTAGCTGTGTTTAAGTATAATACGATTTGATCATATTTTAGATAGAGGAAAAATTCTTATTTATTATACGAACTCTAAATTCCCGGAATCCGGCACACTGCTGTGTTTAAGTACAATGATTCAATCATTGTAGGATGATAAAGAATGTTGATTATCAATTGGTATGTAATTTGACTGTTTAATTGCGAGACCATTATTATAAATGAAATTCGTAGCTGTTGTAACCATAAATCTTTATATTAGGCGCAAATAGTAGTACAACCAATTTAGCATGCGTATATGGTTTCTGGTCAATATTCAACCGTAGATGCGATTTTAAAGCAAGACGCATGTCAACGTCTGTGTAATACTCGTACGCTAGACTTATATTGTGCTGCATAATACAACTGCGAAGAAAACAGTCTTTAAAATAAAGATGTAGTGTAAATTACAGAATTTTTCTTTCTATAGGTTATAACCGAAATTGCCCGTACAATTGACGTCTCAGCATCAAAAGATAACATACGAATGCAAGATATAATTCGTCAAATCATGTCTATGCACGTAGTCAGTGTGTACTTCAAACATTGCGTACACTTTGTAATTTATCTCTGGCTTAGGTGTGTTAATATGACTTTGTACAAAAGGCATGTATCAATAATCGCGATTTCTGATGTGCGATACGTGAAATTCGGTATCAATTTCACTGCTAACTTTTCAGGACAACAAAATTCATCTTTATAACTTATTACAACCACAAAGATGGCGTCGACCTATGCAATTCGATATACGTATGTTTTCCTTTATTAGTAGTGAACAATCTTAACATTTAAGCATATCAATACCTTCAAAGTATAATACATACGGAATGAATATACATTATACAAGATAATAAATAAGCTACAGTACCACGCAACGTTCTTAGATACGAACTACTAATGTTATAGATAAATAACACAGTATTGAATTTTTTAATTGCAGCACTGTACCGTTCCAATCAGTGAATAATCTCTTATTAGAGTAAGACAGTATGAGATACTGTATTTACTTATAGTTCTTATCAACGAAAAATGCTATAATGCCCACGTATTTGTTGTACAGTACCATACCGTACTGACTAGAGTAGTAATATGAACTAATTTCACGTTTTAAATATATTGCTACCGCATTTGGATTAGCATAAACTGACTCGACATCCTTATCCATGCGCGTTTTACATGGCTTAAAACGACGTAAAGTCAAGTGATACCGGGTCAAAATTGTAAATATATCAAGATTATAATTATTCTAAATCGCAAAAATTTCAAATGCAACATTAGGTAAATTTACAATTGAACAGTCGTAAAAGGTGGCCCATTTTCTATGCCAGTTGATGCTAACTATGTAATCATTAACATATAGGTTGCAAGGTAAATTAGTTCTGAATGCAGTTACCAATGTTTACAAATCTATAGAATGTAAACATTGTGCTAATGAGATTAATTAATAACTACAGTCACTGTAGTCTACAATACGAATTTTCGTGTCTATTGACGATAATCAGAATTTAGTATATAATATTAGCATATCGAGTTAAACAGCTTTTAAAATTGCCTGGCTGTACAGTAATGGCTTATAAAGTGGTAGTTATCATTACAGTATTCCTAAATAATTAACATAAACTTGCCACTTTATTAGCATATTAAAGTTATACGCTATAATACCTGTTACCATATCCAAAACTGGTCAAATGAAGAACTTTACAATGTGTCATTAATCAATCTGACTGACGCTTTATACCGGGATTGGTAAATATCGATATCTGTAGACATGTATGATTAATGCGGTATTACAATACCAGCAATGGTATATAAGTAATGCTTCACTTCTTAATATGAATTTCTTTTTCAGTTACTTTAACCACAATACCCAGTAACGATACTTTACCGGCTGATACTTGTATAGTAGACTTCATTAATACATCGCATTAATTAACTTATGGACTAATAGCCACAGCTGATCCTACAGCACGATTAATTCCATCTTTAAGAGGTGTAGACGGAACAGGAGAGATGATTAGGTCATCAGTACCATCTACGCTTTCATCACTCGACAAATCAGCAGCATTGTCGAGTGTGTTAAAAGATATTGGATCATCCAGTTTCAAAGTGATAATATCCGGTGGATTTACAACAACACTACAAAGTAAGGTTAAAATAAAAATTACTAAAAAGTTAGACTTTTATGCATTGTACGGGAATACAGCATATCTTACTCAGTGGGAGCATTTTCTTGCCGTTGATCTTTAGCTTTGCCGAAATGCTTTATATGGGGAAAATAGTAAGAATATAATTACATTGATAATAAAGTTTATAATAAATAAAGCCATTATTCTGTCATGTTGTAGAGCTTAATAGTACCACGTTGCATAAGCCGTTATGTATACGGTATATCTACACCTGCTTCACATATTCCAATTGTAAAGCAGAATAAAAATTTACCCTACTACTGTATACAGTAAATCATGCACGATGAGCCATGGCTATTAAATAAGTAGAATTTAACTCACCTCAGAGTATTCTAGAAGCGCATATAGTATCTCTACGGCAACTTCTAACATCTCTTTGACCTTTGCTAGGTCATATTCGTCATCTGCATAGAGAAGAAAATACAATAACCCATTAAAATTAGGAAAAATACTCATTTGTTATATTTGTTCGTATGACTGATCGTGACAATATCATACAGTACAGTATGAATGTTGTTGTAGTGCGATATCGACATGCTGTAGTTTACTTTACTTTATGTATCAATATCGTAGATTGCATACCGGGATTTAGCATTTCTATTCTGCTAAATTGTGGTATTAATTTTCTTAAAGCTTGAAACGGTTTACCGACTTCCTCATTCAGGGTGCAGGAAATATGCTTAAGCCGGCTATTTAACAGGCAAGCTGGTCGCAACTAAAGCAATCATCAAAGTTCATGTTCTCAATATAAATTAAAAGTTTACTAATTGTAAGTATAATGTTATTACCACTTTTTATAGATTTCAACAATGCATTCAATTTTATAAAACTTGATCGAAACGTTACCTTGTCTATCATGGAATTCAAATATTGGCTTTTATCCGTTGATCCATAAAGAATTAATGACCATTTCTCCACTTTCAGGTGCACATCGTATTCAAAAGCCACTTTAATGACGGCAGCATCTAGCTTTTGTCGAAACTGCTCATAGTTTCGAATCTAAAATTAAGCATAAATATTTAGATTACTAAAATGTATTTTTTAACGTATGGAAAAAAATAAAAATGACCGAATTGATCGATTGCGGCAGCACCAAACTGTTATTACTATAATAGTCTACGATTACCCTGCAGGGCAATTGAAAAAGAGTCTCTGCCAGTACTGTAATGATTACCGTCGGCCTACGTACTATTTTGTCTAACGAATTCAGAGCTTTAATAAACTTTATCTCCAGGTCTAGTAGAGTACCGTAGACTGTGATCAGGCCGTCAAGGGTTGAAGACTAGTTAAAAACTGCGATTCCAGTCATTTATGGTTTGTAGTCAGTATACTGGTACTAATTTGTACTGTACAATGTACAGTACAGTGGGCTACTGATACAGGTACCGAGTACAGTAAACCAAAAAGTGCACAAGTGCCCCCGAGTACTTGGTATGCTCGGTTGAAAAGTACGGAAGTGAAAGTCCGAAACCAAGCGAAAAGACATCACTTTGAATTCCAAAATGAATGTCTCATTTCACTGTAATAAATTGATTTATACGCGTATAAAATGAGATCTCTGTCCACTCTGTTAAGAGCTAAAGTTGAGCAATTGGTATATTCGACTTTTTTGGAATTAAATAGTCAAGTAGTCCAATACTACAGTACGTAGTGTATTGCACTGTACACTGTGTACAGTATAGCTAAGTCATGTTATAAAACAGTAACAAAACAAAAAATCTAAAAATAAATTATTTATTTTTGCAAACTGAACTTCTTATAAGAACAGTCGTAACAAAATCCGTGCTTACTGTATCTTTATCGCAAAGTACTGAATGCATTTTACTGTACTGTTGTCAACAAAACAGTAAAAATTCTAATTCAAATCCCCCTTCCATAGAGTATTTTCTTACAGTCTGCTCTATTTTATTTCCAAGCGTATAACTTACGATTTAATTCAAATAAATATTAAAGAATGAATTGAGTCAATTGTGGCCTATTCTGGAGCGACAAAGTATCAGCCAATATCCTCAAACTACAGTGCTGTAATCTAAATTAGAATGATTGCGTATCATGTTGTTGATGTCGTACTGATGTTGAACAGTTAAAGAGCATTCAAAAATAAAAATAAAAAAAAATAATAATGAATAGTTTCAACGTACGGCATTCTGCTGTACCGTACTGTAGTGTAGATATATACTGTAGGGTACAGTAGTGACAGTATTGTACAGTATACAGAATTACTGTAACGCCTGGCTATCGTCAGTACTAAGTACTGTACTGTTGTTCTGAAAAATTTTTTTCTTCCAATCTCGACTAGCGATCCATCTACTCCTTTAGAATCATCCACTAGACAACATGGGTAAGAAATTCGAAACTATTCCATCCAGGCAGATCACTAGTAAACCGTACACCTATCAACTACTGTACTCTAGTCATACTACTACCAAAAAAGGAATTAGCACGGCACTGTATTTACCTCGTCTTTTAACTTTAATAGCGATCCTCCTTTGTCTCTAGGAATGACCTAAAAATACAAATATAAATAAAAATTGATCAATAAAGATATCGAAGTTGAAAAAATTCCATGAACTATGAAAAGTTAGCAGTGTTAACTATAATCATTTCACCAAAACATGTTACATAGGCTTTATCGATGTCATAACGGTAAAAGTAGCAAGACACATATCGATTTGAATCGTTGGATTTCGTAGGAGAAAACCTCGATTCATCCATTAACTATGAAAAGTTAGCAGTGTTAACTATAATCATTTCACCAAAACATGTTACATAGGCTTTATCGATGTCATAACGGTAAAAGTAGCAAGACACATATCGGTTTGAATCGTTGGATTTAGTAGGAGAAAACCTCGATTTCATCTATTCCTTCCCCCCCCCCCCCAAAAAAAAGCACGAGATGCCGGTCACACTACGCACCGGTGCACGTCCATTCGTAGTGTCTACAGTACGGGTAATGTACCCGGAACCGTGCTAGAGAGCAGTACAAATGACTTTTTCTATACATGCAGTACAGTACTGCTGTGAAAAGGGGCACACCAAGACGATGATGAACGTGACCCATACCAATGATATTGTGTACAAAACATCATGGTGATTTGGATAGTGTAGTGTATAGTACATATCAACATTTGCTAGCGACACTATGACGTTGGAAGTTGTTTACTGATATTGTACAGAATAACATATTCCATGTCCGACAGAAAAATGTCATGGAGGTGCTCTTCTCCTTCAAGATGAATTTCTAGTTGGAAAACTTACCTCAAAGCAACTGCCACGCACAAGTAACTGAATAGCACGACCAATGGATGTATTGGAAATATTTTTCGATTCTTCTTTAAAACGTCCATCTAACTGATGGATGAGGTAGGCGGTCAAAGTTTTTCTGGATATTCTTTCCCCTTCATTCATGATATTGTATAATAAACGCATAATCATTTCTTGCAATTTGGGTCCAAAAAGTTGACACTTGAGAGAACGCAAAGCAGCAAATAACTCATTGACTTGTTGTTGTCTACTCTTCATTAGTAAAATGAGTTCTAATAAAATTCTTTCGCCTAGTTTTCGAATATACTTGATAATATCTTTCCTGCCCAATTCTTCAAGTAGCTGACAACTTGCCAAAGAAATTAATTTACGCTCTAAAGATTTCGCCAAGTTGATCGGTTTGACTTGGTTATTAATTTTCTTGAAAGCATTGGGATTCAACACACAAACTAATTTTTCCATCAAAATCATGGATTGATAATATTCAATGCCATGATTTGAAATCATCGTTTCGTATGCGTTAGCCGGTACAGCCACTTCAATCAAGTATAATATACATGTGTTGGGAGGCAGCGTTCTGACCGATATCGCCGACTTATAATTGTCAACAGGACAGCAGTCATCTTCGACTGAAGCCAAACAGTTGGAACAAATTGTATGCCCACAGCCAAACGTGTACGGTGCCGAACTGTTCCAGTCGCCAAATTTTTTACGGCAAAAACTACAACGAATAAGAAAATTTCTGATCAAGGTATGAGTGGTTCCTTTACTTCCTTTTTCTTCCATGTTTCTCGTTGGTAATTTGGTCAAGTATGACGAAGGAGGCGGACTGCTCCCCAAAAATGAGCACGATTTGAATTCCAGATCCAAGTAAAATAGGAGAACAAGTTTTGATCAGCAGTCTGGATCAAGATCACCGCCTAAGACCAAGAAGAATTTGAATACAACTTGTGTTTCCTTTGCGGTTACTCGTAACTTCCAAAGTCGATCGATGACATTAGGAAAGATCAGCCAAATAGGATTCCCCCCGCTGGAAAAACAATTTGTCCCAAAATTGTACGTCAATGGTACTTGTCTACCGCAGACTACTACAACTTGCGTATACTGTATTAACAACTGATTTGGACACAGGACTAGAATAACACGGCCAAATGCCACTATGCTTCCCTTCTACGGTAGAATATTGCTCCAAATCGCGGCAGCAAACTTTTATAACGTTGTTTGTTTCTTGCTTGTAGCCTGACTAGGGCTGAGCCAGCACTCTCTTCTGATAGTACAATACACTGCCAGTGTCTACTGTACATTGAGTGTACAATGAGTGTGTGGCATGTTGGTGTAACTGGCATATGTGTGTACTATACTGTATGGCGTTACACTGGTACAGTACAAGATTTGGGGTTGGACTGTACAGTACAGGACTGCGTTTCTCCAAGTCCATGCACACTTACACAGTGTAAAGTACTGTACTCTACAGTGTAGTGAAAACCGAGCAAGTCATTTACTGCGCTTGCCCATTGCATGTCTTGCTCTGCTGATTGACGTACTGTACAATACAGTGGAATGTTTTGTGTCCAATACGTCAGCCTTTACACACACAAATAATACAGAGAAAGAAAGTTGATTTAATTTATAAAGAGAAAGGAGAATGATTGGAAATGCTATCAGAAGAAACACAGAGAATCACAGAGTAGCACGACATCGCTAACTAACTTATATTATGAGAATAGCACTTTTTATAGCCTTTCAAATGTCAAAGAGGGAACATTTCTTATTTAAAAACAAGGAAGTAATGGATGATGTCAAAGGTAGCGGTAGAATTTTAGCCAATTGTGACGGACGGATACATCCAGTACATCGTCATGTGACATACTGTACTGTACAGTACTTTACACTAGTGTACAGTGTACAGTACTGTAATAAAATAGGAAATATTACCATTTATTTGTTAATAATTAACTAAACGGTACTGGAAACTCCGTCCAACGGGCGATTCGCATTTACTGTAGGCCTTGCAGAAGCAGTACTGCACTGTTCCAAACACTTGTACTGATTATTGCGTCAGTATGATAATATTCGATTCTGAATGGAATGATTTCTCGAAATCCTTTATACTTGAATCCTATCAACTTCAACGTTTACTTTACCCAAAAAGTACTGCCTCGAAAACAGTTCTATAAATGTCTCCAGTGTTTTTGAATTAGTACAATAGAAGTAATTAAGAAAAACACTACTCTACGGTGCCACATTTTCGGCCTCGTCTGGGTCAAGAAAAGTCCGTCCATCCGAAGAATCGCCAATGTTTAGCTACAGTGTCCATACGTACAGTACATGTACTGTACTGTACAGTACATTGCAACATCGCTATATTGAACTATCAAACGTACAAGTACAGTACTGTACAGAACAGCAGGCTCAAACAATTTTGCTTTACCAAGGAAACAAGCAAAAAATTGATCGCTAAATACACAAATAGTTTCATCGATTGCTTGTCCTGCTGATGATAAAATTGATCATTATCCAATGGATAACCTACTCCATCAAGATACAGAAGAGGTCGAGACTGTGCTCACCAACAGAAATGAGCATGGTGATCTATTAGTTTTTGGTAGCGTCACTAGGTATAGTCATCTTGAACGGAATATTGATGATGCAATTCATGCTGCATTCTTGTGTTATTATCCTTGATTACTGACGACACCGTGTCGTAAGATGGATATCTTGTAAACAACAACTATGGGTTACATTGAATATCTTGCTCAATTAGTGTATCATTTTAAATCCAATGACTTTATTGTCGTATACGGTATAGGCGCTGTACGATCAAATTGATCACCGGTAATACAGCAGTTCATTTTAACCCAATGGATAGCGTTAAAACACGCTATGGTAAATTTATTTATGGCGGTAAAACAATATTGCAACGGCAAAAAAAGAGCCTTAAATTACCACTGGACAATACATTGCTTAATATCCAGTAGTCTTGAATAACCAGTCATTCCTATCTCCAGCTACTTTAGTGATAGCTCAATACTTTCCTAATCGATTGACTCATTTTGTCTCTGCTTATACTACGATAAATTGAAATCGCTATTTTAAAATGGATCTACAGTACAATAGCCAAGAGAATTGTTCAATTTACTGTCATCTTCGATGCATACAACCTGAGGATATTGAATATTTTGCTACAGATTAATCATTTTTTCTTACAATTCATAGGGATTTGTTAATACTCTTTGACGATTTCAGCCATGCAAGTCAACAAATTTATAGAGATGACATTAAAAAAGCCTTCAATTCTATCCAGTTATATCCTTCTACAGCTCAAGGTGCAGTTTTACCTTTTTCAATGTGCATGAATTGATATTGTTCGCGATAACTTATTTTTTGCTAGTCAATACTGCAATTAAATTACATCAAATATGGCATATGTTGGCGTTGACTCATTTTACCATCGCTATGGCAGGCAGTAATATTATAATCATACTGTACGCGTGTATCAATGTAGCTTGAACAGCTGCATACTCTGCAACCAGATTGATAACTATTCGTGTAATTGTTTCAAATCGAAAGCAAATTCTCGAGAAAGATGATCTAAACGCGCTCAGATATCAAAATTACAGTAGTATAATCGCCTTTCATGAAATTCCTGGAATAGTGTAGCTATCAACGCTATGAAATACTCTAATTTTTAAATTATGAATTCATAATAACTACCTAAAGATAACTCATGTTTTTTCTACCGCAAAGCACAAATATCGGTTACAAAAAATCTTACGATACGACAGTTTTACCTACTGTTTCTTTGGTATTATGAAGATTCCACACTAAATGACTTCAAGTTACATCGATATTCTACCATTACTAAAAAAATGAAACTATAATTGATTGCTTTGTACAATGTGACGAGAATGCGGTAGCATTTAATAATGGAAACATAAATGATGTAGCAAATTTTATGTACTCCCCTTACTTTAACCTACAATGTTATGATGCAGAAATTATAGTCAGTGATATTGCTTTAGAACAAAATTTTACCGTTAAATAGTAATCTTAGAATTACTTTTAATTTCTTACTAACGGACTTTGTTCATTAAATTGCGTAGTTGAAGAGATGTTATTGTCTGCTCATGAATGTTGCCAGAATACCGATCTTAATAGTTTAACATTTGGTCAGTTTGCATTTTTTGCATCCTTACTGAAGAAAGAATATCAGGAAAGAAAGTTAGTCAATTTGTACACTCACTTATTAATATAAATTCTCTTATATTTTCATATCTGTATACTTTAGTAATTTATCTATTTCTAATTGATAGTTCCCATTTATTTTACAGCACTATAATTTAAACTTTTGATTAAATATATCGGAACTATCTGAATTGGTAATTAATACCGTATCAATTTAGATAGTTCCGATATTATTTATTTTCCGGTATTAGCCATAAGATGCTATAGTGTATATATATAGAATAAACATTATATCGTAATTGCATTCGAATATACTCCTATATTACAATATTCGTCGAAACTGCACTAGATAAAATCACAGGATATTCGGTTTATATATAAACTTTAGCTTTTCTGCTCGTTATTGTAGTATAACATTTGCTAATAAAGAAGGAAGCTTAATTGTAAATCGAAAGCATAGCCCAAGAACAAGTAAGACTACATTACCTGTGATCGCCAATCGCAGTATACTCGAGTCTAGGATACAAATCTTGCCATCAGCACTTTTTGCTTTAGTAATTATTTTTAATGATGTTATTTCACTTTTAGATCACCCGAATGTTCAAGGTACCATAATGATGCTAATTTATCAAGACTGCATACTGTACTAATTATTATCCATTTAATACTATAATGTAACAATGCACAACCTTATGTTGTATCCTTTATGGATATTATTGGAGTAGTGTTTCTTGGGGGAGCATGCAACCCAACGACATGGAGGAAAGAAATTGCTATACCAATACTTAAAGATCATTGTATTACTTACTTTAACCCGGTAGGTCTTTCATTTTTATAATATCTTGCAATGTATGTTGTGCTATTGTAAAAGTTTATAAGCCATCGAGTTTTATTTTAAAATAATTACTCTTTCCTCTATTCCTTGCCATGATACCGAGTAGCAAGTTGAAGAATGGTTTCCGGCATTGATAGAAGTAGAAGAACAAGCAAAACAGGTTCTTACTCACAGTCAATAACTAATTGAGGCAATTTTAATAACTCTTACTACTAGCAATTATCAATACACTTTATTCTGTAGATGATTAATACTTCAAGGATCTATTTTACATATTAATCTATATCTTGATTACATTTTTGGTATAGACTGCAGAATTACTTCTCTTTGTAATTGAGGAATCGACAAGAGGGTTGTCTTCAATGGTGGAAGCAGCTTATGTAGCCGGTAAAATTGTATTTGCTTGCTTTATGTCGTCTCAGTGTAATTTTATTAAAATCAATATTGCTAGCCTGATAAATTTATATTGTATTTTTATATTTGTCATTTCCAGGTAGTGGTGGGCCGCTCATATTAGTTCTTAGAGAATTGCCTGAAACCGAAACAACCATAGCTGGCGAGACACTTTCAGCTAGGTGATTATTTTTAGGACTTTTATTAACTTTAGAGTGATGCTATTTACTTATACGGGACACACACTTCAATAGTGAGAAGGAAGACCTTAATCGTGGTCGAAAATTTTTGAGAGATACGGTTGAAAGAGTGGATATTCCAGTATTTACTGATATAGAAACTGCAATTCACTGTTGTGCTAAGGTTATGAATAAAAATTAATTATCAAAACTTACTATATATAATTATATATAAAGATGTAAGGCTAATTGGAATAGATACTTTGTTAACATATATGTCAAAGTTATTTCCAATTTGGTAACTAAACAGCGACGCTTCTTATTCAGGTTATTAAAGTTGGAACCAAGATTACCAACTTAACGACCGATGATGGCGCTCAGCCAGTTAGACTCGCGGATATATCTGTAGATGATAGTTTTATGTAAGTCATCTTTATATAACTCTTGAGTTACGAAGTATGATTGTTATGATTAGTGAGCCCCCAAATTTATCAGTAAAAGTGATGGGTTGGATTTGTTATACTTTACTTTACTTTTTCATTAGAGCTGCCAAGGAAAAATATGATGACTACAATTCTGGTGGTTCGGGAAAGTTAACACTTAATGAGGTCGGTATTACGCTGATGAACTGAAACCGTGAAATACCTCTTCCTAATTTAAAATATTTAAATTTTAGGTTGCTCTAGCCTACAAAGCTTTTAGTGGAAAGGCGTTATCGCAGGATAATGTAGAAATGTTGTCGGGCTTGTATGAAAGCGATCCTTCTAAGATTAGAATGTCGTTCGAAGAATTTTGCTGCTTACTAACAGAAATGCTTTCAGACGTAATAATATATATTTTATTTAGATGTAAAAATTTTTAATCTAAGTCGCTAACTTTGAATTGTGTCTATGTCTAACTCGGGACATTTTGGATTATACAGCAACCGCAGTTAAATTATCTGAATTCTCTATTTAATATTGTTAGCGGCACAACTACAAATTTTATAAGTAAGATCGATATTTGTACAACATGTGCTCTGTAGAGCATTTGCTTTAACTTTGTCGTATTGTCTTTCAAATGACTTACAAAGAGGATGATCTGTTTAGATTGGTTGTTTAATGGTGGTCCAGACATTTTACATGAAAAGGATGAATCGGTTTTCGAACGCGATATATTTCTTGGTGGCAGCTGTGGTCGATCAACATGGAGAGAAGATGTAGCTATTCCGTTGCTAAAGTAAATCTACCGTGAATTTTGTAATTTGTAGGCATGTATCTTATTGTTTTGATAGTCGATTATGAGAATTTTTATCGTCTTTTATGAATTTTTTACAGGAAACAGGCAATTTCCTATTTTAATCCGCAATTACCTGACTGGTCGATGAAATTTCTTGGTATTGAGGCTGAAGCAAAAAAACATTCGAGACTTTTGCTATACTTTATCGGGAATGAGAGTCGATGTGTTGCGTCGATGGTTGAGGTAGCCGAAAAGTTTGAAATTTTAACAAGCCTTATGTTTGTGCAGTATGAGAGTAACGTGTTGTGACAATTATTGTATTGTTTTATTAGATCGCTTACTATATCGGCTTGGGTAGGAATGTTGTTCTCTGTATTCAAAATTTTACCGACGGAAACCTTCTAGATGGAGTTACAGTGCGTAAAATAATGTATTGAATATCTAGTAACAGAACAAAAATTTTTGAATGCAACAAGTATTTTCTTATGTAGTACGAGTACACATTTAGGTGCTAGGTAAATGATATATCTGACTTAATTTCTAGGTTACTGGTAGAAGTTTACTTGACTACAACCGAGCAAGGAGTTATTTATCAGATATTGCAAATCGTGCATCGATCCCTGTGTTCGATGATATTACTGAGGCTATTATGAGTGCAATTCAAGAAATCAAATTATCAAGCCGAGAAAGCGAGACCTAATTTATAAAAAGTTTTTTAGACGGTACTAAAAGTAAAATGAAAATTCTTTTAATAACAGGACGAAATGATAATAATTTGAGCATATTAATTTTATCCCTATATAACTTACGATGTACAACTTGCAATTAACTGGTATGTTTCCGCAGTGTCTTCTGATTGTCTGTTGTCGTTGGTAGGAAAGACCAATCAAAATTTTCGTGTTGATTGAATATAATCGGTGTTAATAGAAATAATATTATAGTCTATTTCAGCACGTATAGTACATACTTGCTTATACTACTAATATATCGTGTACAGTAATATACGCATTAACAAGGTAAGATTTGAAGCCCTCTTTAAGCTGTTAACGTGTTGAGTTCAGTAAAAATCAACTCCAATACTACTATATTAACAATGATTATGATTATAAGGACTGTACTACTATTTTTATGACACATTTTTATAACTTTAGTTAATTCCTTATTATCTGACTATAAGTATCGTTCAATCAGTATCAAGTATTATTCATGGAATTGGCTGTAATTTCAAAATTGCTTCTATAAGTATATAATATAGTTATCTGCAATGTACTTATTAATGTGTTTAAGGAATGTACATTACACCGACTTAAACTTGCCTTTTGTACGCGTAGCGGAAATACTAGCTTTCATAAGTTGTATCCCAAAGAATCTAGCCAAGTATCGAATGTTTAGTAACTGCAGTCTACTCAATAAGGATGCTTGTCACTATAGTATATTCAATCATTAATCATTCACTCTCATAAAACTGATAGATTTAAAGTAAATGAAGTTAACCTTATGTTGAATATTCATTGTGGTGCAATTTTAATTCATAGTAAATTACTATCATTCCGTCTGTTGCACGCAAAATGATAGGCTCGTATCATGAATTCAATGTGGCCTGCCTCACTTTTGCAATAGCCTGGTGCTAAATTAGGATGACGTTTCTTGATGCAAACAATTAGCGCTCAATAAGTACTGTACATAATCTAACGTGATTTATTTTATTTGTGATACAATTATTTTTTATAGGTCATCCAGACCTATCTTTCCAATTGTAATTATTAAGAAAGCATACCACTTTGATTTTTTACGAAAGTTAATTTTTAACCTGTGAAATTACCTAGTTACGGTGTATAGTAAAATAACAGGATTATCACAGCTTGTCGAGTGTAAGTGTGCGAATAAATTTAAATTTACAGGAGTCACCAATTGGATAATATAGTAAACGAAATACTACAGTAGTAACAACACTGTTGCATAATAAGATGCTTCGAGCATAGCAGTAACAGATAAATACTTTACATCTAAATGATACTATTAATAAAGTATTATAATTTAATTACATGATAAAGGGAAATTGTACAACAGCTAGTACATACCAGAATCTAGAGTAACAACAGCTTTAAAAAAATGCTGCAGATACATGTACTGTATATTCTTTAGTGCAGCATCGTATCCATTCATTACCACCGATTGATTGATTGAATCAAAAAAACTCTATTGACTAATGCATTAAAAGTTACTGTATATGCACATATGGATTTTTTCGGTCGTTAAAACATTTACTGCATTGCTTTACCCTTACAATTGGTAAATTACAAAATTTTTTTTTAAAATATCAAGTACTGCTAAAACAAGAATAACTAATTAAAGACTTTAGCACAATAGAGAGACCGTAGAACTTTATGAGACACGGAATCTCCATGTTCCACATAATATCAATTGACTTGAGTCGTAAAGTTAAAGCCTTTCAAAGCTATTGATTAAGGTTAGAAGTATTTTCTTCATTGCAGTTGTTGTTTAATTCATTCTGGATTACCGAAGATTGGTAAGTGGGTGGTTCTTGAGGTATGCGAGGTGGAAGTACACGTTGACTTGGTCGAACAGAATTCATGTCAGTGTGATTGTGTGCGGTAATAAATCTCACCGCTAAAGCACTGGAGTCAGTTGTGATACTAGGCTCACTTGTACCATCGCTATCATTGTTGTTGGGCTCTGCTTCATTGGATGTATCATTAGAAACGCCAGGTGATGTTGCAGTCAAGTTATCAACATTGCCATCATCAGGCACTACTATTCCAACTTCATCAGCTATTAGATCGTAAAAGAGAAGAGAACTACAGTTCAAGGATTACGATGTTATAACAAAATATATCATTAACACCCAAATTATTTCAAGATTAATATTGTTTACTTTTAAATTATACATGCGAAAAAAGAGGCTTTATTGCTAAGCCTTTTAGTACCAAGAGATGATCTATCCTACTCGGTTTCAGCCATGTGTACTGTATAAAACTAAGCACCTTAGGTATGCTTTAAAAATTTAGTTACCTTCAATCAAATTTTGAGTACTAGCAGAGCGATTTCTATTTGAAATGTTTCCCTCTGAGCCCTTCGAGTCCATACAGCACTTCTTACGGACGTAGACTAATATGCCTACGATGATTGACATAGAAATGGCTGCGCATATTATTACAATAGCAGTTACACTGGAATCGCCTTTGAATAAAGATAGAAGAAAAGTGTTTTAGCATCCATTAGAATATTGACACACAAATGCGCAGATACTGATTCTATTATGTTATAAATTAATTTATAAACGTGGTTATCACATTGCAAGTAAACTATTTCAACTGGAATTATTGTCGGATCTTTTAGACTTTTGATTTTTGCATGACACGGTAAAAATACTTTTTTTTTCAAGACTACATTCTCCTATGATTTGTGTACCGTATGCAGTTACTACAGAATGGAACATCGATACGGTAATTTCTTATATTAGAGCAGTTGCTTACCAAGATCATCACCATCGCGTCGAGCTATGGTCAAAAATAAATTGGCATTAAAATAAAATATGTATTAGTATTTTCTTGTATGATGAGAATCATAGTATCTCATTCATGATGAATAGATATCGCTATTTCCTCTTTGGCAATGCATTGACTCAACGTACAGTACTATAGTACAGTATTGGCAAAGGTCTTTTGTAAATTTGTTGACGGAATACTCTAACAATGTTTAGGATGAAAAGTAATGGATAGCTTTTCTATCTACTGTACAGTACAGCTACAGTGAATAATATCATTACAGGTGCAAATATAGCTTCATCAGAAAGACACGCTAAATTACAGTAATAGATAAATCATTAATTATTACAGCGATTAATATTCAATTAGAAACATATTATTGAATGCTGTACTTACAGCGAGGAAGAGCTTTATATTTGGCCATAGCACAAGGCAATAAGGAGGCAAGGCAGGCTGCGTATATTGATAAGAAGTAAGAATTATACATATTGCCTATGTCCATTTGATGCAAAGAAGCCTACAAAGTGGCGGAATCAAAATGGAAACTACAACTCTACAATGTGCTCGATGACGTTGAATTATGAATGGATGATACTACCCAAGATTGATTCATGTCTGAAATTAAATATACTTGTACTTGTACTCGTAGGCATGTTGTCTGCTAACGACTTGAGCTCTCCATTGATCATGATCATTTAAGCGAGCGTCAGCAATCGCTATTGGCTAGCTAGTGCAAGGATTGCTTTCAAGGAGAGTACAGACAGTATGCACTATCTTGGCTGATGTTTTACCTTTCCATTGGAGATGGTTCATCTTAGGATAGAGTCGTAACAATATTTGCTAGTATTAAAAGGACAAACCCATCCGCTGCAAGATAGACTGTTGTTGAAGTGCTTTTCCCTTAATCCTTGGCAAAACCAACTCATTCCCATCACTACTATACGGTGTCCAGAACAGTCCGACCTGGCACCATCCTGTACTGCGCTGCAAGTGGAGAGAGTGCGCAAAATCGGTACGACTTACCGACTGGTACCGGCGCTAGTCTACTGCGATACTGTTCATTGGTCAATCGTCCCATTGAGTCGTCCACTACCAATGTTAACCTACTGTATGATGCGCGATAGTAGCCGTTGATACGCAATCTTGGCCGCTTTGTTTTCATGTCTAAATATTTTTTTTTTTGCATGACAGGCTGATTACTGAAGATTTTCTATTTACTTATCACAATATCTTCCGTTAGGAAGATGGCAAGCAAGTTCAATATGTACTCCATTGATATTTACAGGTAGGGTTGTGCTGTCGTTGGAGTAGGCCAAGTAGTGCGAGTCTCTTTCTACAAGTGCTACAGTATCCATATCCATTCAAGGTTACAAGGATGGCCGAATAGGCGTTTTTCTTGTAAATTGATCAATTGTCTGCATACTTGATCAAATTGCCGTCAAAAAGCAATGCCGTGTGCTGTTGTAACCATGATAATCATGTGCAATGCAGTCTGTATCATTACTGAATTGGCTTTTGCTACGTGATTCTAGTAACAATAGTTTAATCAAGGCGTAGACTGGATTATCATTCTCATTCTTCTTTTTTTTTTTTTTTTTTCTATTTCTGTACTCGTACTGGATATCGTTTCTGCCGTTCAATCAATGCAATCGGTTTAAATCATCGGTTTAATGATGTTATGATGATTGGATGAAAATCATTTAAACTGCTCCTCTTGTGCACTTTACTCACTACAGTATAGCAAAAGACATGGTGCATTCAAGTATTTGCTTCTATCTTGGTCACCATGTCATGAACAAGTGAATAAAGTTGGACATGTTGGTCGAAGAAGCGATGACGAAAAAGAATTTTTGATTTGCAGACAATACCCCGCAGTACTATGGATATTTGTTACTGTTTGCAACAAGAGATCGACAGCGCTATGGCGATACTTGTTCCTTACGTCCGATGACTACGATAGACTGTACTATGGCGTTGTGTATGCAAATAGAGCGGCAAAGGACATGCTCTCCATAGATCGGGTTCATCTTACTGTCAAGTAGGTCACATTGCTACAATATGCAACACTTACCGTAAGCAAATAACATTAGCTGTGAGTATGCCATAATTGTGGAATGTTGGAGTCAATTTTGCCACTGGCTGTGGTTGGTGTTTTGGCGTCAATAGGACGAGCGATCTAGTTATCCAATGGAGACAAAAGTAGCATTGATATTGACACTAGCATAATTGTCCATTCAAGTCAAAAAGATGACAAAATAGAGCAGTAGACACAATATACATGGATAGTGGTTGCTTACCAGTTGGCTACTAGCTTGTGTGAGAAAGTTGGTTTATTTTGGCAAGTTTTTCCAGGTCTACATGAATCCAGATGAGTCCAATAACAACTCGCTGCAAGCCAGCGGCGACTATTTCTCGATGTCGGGTATGGGTGGATGTGGTCACTGCGATCAGCGTACTGTACTCTATATCGATTGATACTGTCCGTGTTGTGAAAACTTGCTGCAGCACAGTCCATTGTACTGTACAGCGGCGACTCCTTGGATGTTCACTTTACAAAACCTTCATTTTTACTTTGTACTGTAGCGTCTCGGGTACTTTAATTAATAATTACGATGAAAGTAAACGTCGTACGTAAATTTTGATGACAGATTCGTGTAAATTAACTCTTTTTCTATAGACTGATATAAAATTTGTCAAAAAAAAAAAAAAAATTTAATCCATCTGTTTGCACCAAAATCATAGAAATTAGCCCGTCCACACTGTACAGTACAGTACGTACTGTATACAGTACAGTACGACAGTACAGCACTGTACTGTACACTCAATGCATTGTACTCTACTTTGCACTGATCATGAGCGTGCGCACTGTACTGTAACGGACAGGACAGAGAAGTGGTGGGGGAAAAAAGGCTTTACAGTACAGTGTACTGTACTAGTACAGTATTTCCTTCAATGGATTGGATTGATTGACTGGGCAGCAACCTACAGTACTTGTAACAGGATAGTATATGATGCCTGTCAAAGTGTTGTAAAATGCAGTATGCTGAATGAAGAATGCTGCTGATGATTGTATTCAATATATTTGTAATAAACCAAGGCAAAAATAAGAATTCAATTCTACTGGATATGATGATCAACAACTTGATATCAACAATACTGTACACAAAGGCACAACACCACCATCTCTCTTGACATTGTATTGTAGATGCCAAGATAAACACACTGTACTGTACTGGTCTGAGAAAGGTTCGGTTGGGTTCAATACCTTGATGGTCTAGACTCTACAGTACACTGTAGTCCCTGTCCACATCCATGTCAGCACTACAGTACAGTATACTGTACATACTACGATCGTACTCTGTACAGTTGTCCGTCTGTTCGCTACTAGGTCCCAATCGTCATTTTACCCTTGAGAGAAAGTAAAATGGCAGTCAAAATGAGTGATGCACGACACACATTGACTGCTTTCATCATTTTTATTGACAGAGGATTGAATGGTTGGTTTAAAAGGTTTCTTTCATCTCAACGTCCTCTCTTTGGATTCATTAAAAGGGTCTCTGCCCATCGTGGAACCCCTCCCTGCGCTGGTGAAGATTCGGCGTACTTGTTTACTACTGTACTGTACTGTACAGTATGGACAGTCCAGTGCTGTCTGCGGTACAGTACAGTACAACCACAACACCGTCCTGTACTGTAGTAGTAAAATCATCAACACGATCGGTCATCGATGCCACCCATAGCGATTTGCTCTTTCCTCGAGCGCTGACTGTAAGGGCAAGGAAAAGAAAATAGGAATAATATTTTTTCTAGCGCTTTCAATCATAGACTGCATCATGTGTAGTGTAGCGCCAACAGTACTTAAACGGAGCAGTATCGGTCAGTATGGTGAAGAAGAAATGGTCGGAGCAGAACTGATGTCAGCGAACTCGAAGCCATTGCATGGCTTTACGCTACATGACCGGTGTCCGCTGTATCACTGTACTGTACAGTGTACAGTGTACAGTACGTAGCCTAGTCCACTGTGACTACCTATCGTACAGTATCATCATGCTACCGGACCGGACCGGAACGGCCAGTCTCGTCCGCAGTACGTTACGGTACCATTTGGCTCCGTTGATTGACTGTAGGAGTGTAGGCTGACCGTTACCGTTGGTCAACACACCACGGCGTGGAGGACCGTTGACGCATTTGCAGTACTAGACGTTGGTATTGTACAGTACACTGTACTGTAGAGTCCACTGTCTTACAGTACTAGAGTCAGAGTCTTACAGTACTGTACTGTAAAACAACGCATTTGTACAGTACTAGACGTTGGTATTGTACTGTACTGTATGTACTGTACACTGTACAGTACTACAGTCCCCCCCCCCCAAGTTGGTACTGTACTACAGTGCGATCGCCGCCTACAACCACTGGCTATCCAGGCACGAAAGCAAGCGCGTCAAGCGATACTGGTGGGTGAAGCGAGTGACGTTGAGTCTTCTTTCCTCCAAGCTCTTCAAGCTCTTAATTGATTTCCAATTCAATTCCGCCGTGGCAACCATCGCAAAAATCAATTCTTCCATCTTTCTTGGTGTCTATTTGCTGGGAAAAATTGCATCGATTTTATCGTTGATGATCCAGTGGTGAGTGATTGCACTAATATAGTATCCATTGATTGGCCAGGCCAAGAGGAACTATCCTAAGCATCATAGCCATCATCCAATCTGCAGGCCTACGTCTTGGTCCTGCTTGTTTGTTTGCAAGAGGATCATTTTCAATCCAAAGTCAATCAAACACATTTGGATTAAGCGATCGAGGTATCCAATCGTTCAGCTTGACATCATCTTCATCTTTTTCAATTTCCACTTGGCTAAGGTAATACAGGAAGAAGAGAGACAGATAAAATTGACCAAAGTCTGCTTGGGAGAATCTTCCATTACCGTCGTTGGAGAAACCATCGATCCAGTTCCATTTACAACGTTCTACTCCACTTGTAGGATACGGTAATCCATTGCAGAGTAGACTTCTTTTTTTCTTTTTTTTTCTACTGTACTCGATCCTTTTGCCAGGAGAATATATTATTCCCTCCCTATGCCTACTTCCAATTCATGTTGATACAAGACCATCATCAGTTTTTTCTCCCCTTCTTGATGGTCATTGCAACATCATTCAATTCACCAACATCCAATCATCATCAACTTCCTTTCGCTTTTTATGTCGCTACGCTAAAAGATCATCCTAACCAGTGGAATGGAAGAAAATCAACAACTGCCATCAGACTGGCGATGCTTTCACTCATCAAGTCATCACTGCAATCACTTTGTCTTGTCTTGATTTGATCATCAAGCATTGACTCAGTGCAACCACAAATCTTCCAATACTTGTTCAATAATAGCATCCAGCAAGAACGGAGCGTTTCCCCTTCTCCAATTCTACCTTTTCAATATTCCAATCATCCATGGAGAAGTTAGTCTAGGTGTAAAATACTCGTAGCATTGCAACAAATCATCCCATTTCTCATCACCACAGGCCACCAACTTGCCTTACCTGTAGATCCATTTCCATACTTGCTTGATAATTGAATCAGCTTCGATCAGCCTTATTATACGCCACCAATGACAATGAGTCTAAGCTAAGCTATAGTAAGTTTGGGGGGGGGGGGAAAGCCATTTTCTCATTTCTTGTATTTTAAGACACTTTTTGAATTCAACTGATCGATACAGTCGATCAATAAGTTCATGCCATTGAAGAACGGCTGTACTTTATTTTTTCCTGTTCTTACCGCATTATTTTCACAAAAAGAATCGGAAGGAAAGTCGAGTAGACTACAGCTTTGCCGGTAGGATGAGTAGTCAGTGAGTGGCTATCCTTTTCATTTTGTCAATCATTTTATCATATCGTTGAAGAATGAAAAATAGCCATGGCTATTTTCCATCACCCTACAAACGTCTTGTTAATCATACCCAACCAACTAGTAGAGAGATGATCGCTTTGCAAATTGCAACAAACTAATTCAAGTTCTCATCGTGCCGACAGGATGATGCACAGTGTTAATCGCTAGAGTAATACTGGATGGCCAGTATTACTCTAGCGTTGTATAATGAACTTTCTAGCTTCATTAAAATATCCTAATCCGGTATTATGGCCTTTCGTAATGCGCCATCGATGGACAGTCATTCAGCCATCGCATATGTTGCTATAGGCTTGCGATCAATACATTGGGGATAGTGTTTTCAACGTGGATCGTCTACAGCAAGAATCAAGCTAGAATGTAGACTATTCCATCATGCAAAAGTAATCTTGTCCACCTAGTAATCACCATGTTGCATACAGTTGAATAAACGGCTACATTGGTCAACATCTGTGCCTCCTAGTCGATGCTACTTAAATCCATTGAAAACTACCCTACATCATTCTAGACTTAATAATTTATTGATGCTTTCTATTCCGTTGTAAAGTCAAGAGGACTGTAAATGTAAACTGATGTTAATGCTATATCTAATAATAATAATACTTTATATTATTACAGGCAGCCAAAATGAATAACGGCGAGATGGACGTATCTGTCCGTAAACGTATCCTTGAATTACAACAGGAATATAAGCGCCAGCTCAAATTGAAATCGGGTGCGGAAAATATGAGACGTGTGGATAAGAAATCGCGCAATGACATCGATAATGTCTTGAAAGAGACTACTAATAGAATGTTTGCAATTCAACGTGAGCTACAAAGTTTGGGTGCCCAAGTAACTGATGAAATTGCAGGTAAGCAGATGATAAATGGAATCATTCAACTCGCTAGCTAACAAAGTATAACATCAACAAGCATCCATGCACTGTCAAAATATGCCATAGGTGACGGCTACAACACTTTACTTTCTTCCCTATTTCTTTTTCATTCTTTCTTATCCCTCTCGCTCACTCCTGCGTCGTATATATCGTCGTTTTACTAATCCATACTTATCAAGACATATTCATCCTCTCCACACTCCACTGAGTATGGAATGCCAAGTTCTACTTTAAGTTCGTGAACCACTTGATCGACTTGAAGGAATCTGACAATCTGTATTATCGTATGGAGTTGAGAGGTAAATAAAGAGGTCTGCTGCAACCCAATTTATAGTAATCAAATTAAAATAACTTGCTACTTATCAATACTTTCAATTGAATTTAGCCGCAATGCGGTAGTTTTAGATGCTGTCATTGTGGTCAAATTAATCCAAGGCAAGCATTCATTGCTTTTATTCAATTGACTAGCTAGAAATGATTACAGCGACAAGTTAGTTAATTGAGTGCTAAGTTGTAATTCCACTTGTGAAGTTGGGGCCGCACGATAACCCAATTTTTCTTTATTTGCATATCGCGACAATTGGTTACTTTTCTTGCATGCATAGACTACTATACAAAGTTAGGTCATATACTATTTCAATAATTAATTGCTTGGAAAATCCGAAAATACAGCTTGTTTTTATTAGAAACAGTTGGTGAAGCTATACACAATATAGAAAATTGCTTTTCTTTTTTTTTTTTTTACTTTGTCAACATGACTCAAGTGGATATACGCATATGCGCTTGTTTTAAAAGTTTATTTCGTTCATACTATTCGTCATGGCAGCTTGACGAAAGATTTTTTCCTCTTCTTGTCCAAATTATATGTTGACCTTACTCTCTATATTAGTTGAGTTGAGATGGCATCTAGTGGCCGACTATTGCAATTTTTTCAGTATTAAATTACTGTTCAATATTCCATGTCGAAGAAGAGACGAGTTACGCTACGCTTTTCGGCTTTAAAAAAACTCCTCCTAAAAACTCTTTTTACTATGTGCATTCTTGATTATGACTGCTCATCAGTCATGGCATCATCCATTCTATTTCTCTATTCATTTCTATTTCCGGTACTTGGCGATCTCTACATTGAGCAACATCGCCGATAATTCATGCACTCGTCGACAGTGATGTAAGAGTTTAGCAATCGCCTTGAAAAAAGACAAAGCAACTAAAGTAATGCATGCGTTTTGTTTCAAGATATCATTACTTAACCTTTCTTTGACGATACAGTAGTTATGAAAAATAGAGGTGATAGCTAGTGTATTGGAATCTTCGCTTGCCCCGTGGATAATACCTGCGATCAAGGATAGAGAGTAAATCATTCTTGACTTACGGGTATATATTAAAGTAGTGCAACACAATCTATCAAGCCAATCTTATGTTGTACAGTAGATTAATCCAATACAGCCTATTGAAGAATATCTTCATTCGTTTTACAAACAAACATTTTATGATCCGTTGGAAAGATGTTAAGCTCTACTTTCATACAACATCGCATGGGAATATTGCAATTTCAATTAAAAGAAAACACCTTTGATTAAAGAAGCAAGTTATTGTCATGTATAATTCCAGTTGAGATAATTGTATGTACAGCAAAACAATACTTGGATACATATTGGTCTTGCTGTGTTCTTTTTATTCTAAGCTGGATACTAGTACAAGTATTTTTATACATCGATCACTGTCAAACGACAATACATATAATGGAATAACTATCATACATATAGACATGCCTGTTCTCTATTTTACGCTGCTATTCAATATTTAAAAAGGATCTTGACTTAATTGATTTCTTATACGATACTGTATTATGATTCCATATAACTTGCTACTACATTATTCATGATAAACAGAATTTAGACTAGACGAGAAGATAGAAACAGTTTAATAGGACATACTCTTCAAGCTATTATACAATTGATTATTACATCAATCGATCTATGCCTAGATTACTTTATCGACCGTAAACCAATCATAGATTTAATATCATCGTCTACCTGTAACAACAAGATATTGTACATAATAGATAGTGCACAACATGCTAATGGAACAGCTTTTCCACATCCAATTTATTAATTATATACATCAAGCTACTGTATCATCAGAATTTTAAATCTATCCTCTACTGATATTAACCAATCAACGAATCAACTTGATTCATTTAGTAATTAACTTTACTGACTATCTACAGTAGACAAATCAGTAGACGCATTGGTGATATCGATGGCATCATGATTACAAGAAGATTACCATACTGCAAACTAGTTGATTAAAATCATACAGTAAGTTCTCAGTAACGACTTTATGCTCATCGCTGAAAGTGCTAAAAAAACTGAGTCTTAACACAGTAATAATCTCCACATCACTGGTTGTTGTTAACACATCTTGTATCCATAACAACAATTACTACTCGCTACAATAACGATTATGAACTCTCCTCAAATACCCTTGAAAAAAAAAAACTACATACGTTCAATCTGTTACCGACCTTGATTAAAATTCTCTAACGATAAAATGGTATCGATTCGTACCAATTTAATCTTGAGACATTTTTACCTCTCTAATAAAATTGTAATAACGAATGATGGATCATAATTTTGTACATTGAATTACTACTCTCTATCACACACCTAATTAGGTGCTATTGAATCAAGACTATCACACCGTTACGTTAGCTCAACGAAATAGTTGTCTATATATACGACAATTGATCGATCTTCTTTCATATTCACAACTAACATTTGCATTTTTTCAGGAGGAGGGAGAACTTGATTTAGTATTGAGGACAGAATAGCACATACTTATTTGTTACGTACTACAACTTGTAATTTGATCCTTTTCATCATATTTATTTATCAGATGATAACCACCGGAATGATGATGTAGATCATTTTGAAGGCTTAGGCGACAAAGATTCAGTTATTGATGCGCTAAAGAAAGGACTCGATGTTGAATTGAAAGTCAAAAACGGAGCCGAAAATATGATGAAAGCATTTGCAAATACCAAATCTTCCAAAGAACGTAAAATTTTAGCTGAAGCTCAACAAATGTTTAATGATTCTAAAAAGAAGATTGATGCATTGCATATGCAAATACTTTCAGCATCGAAACGAAGTGGAGATGATGCTGTTGCTAATTCAGCTCCAAAACAATCACCTCTCGAGATTAGAATTGCTATGCTAAATCATTACATAGAAATTGAGTCTCAAATTATTAAAGGTGCCAAAAATGTCAAGAAATTGTTTGGTCATCGTGATAAGAAAGGTGCCGATAAAAAAGCCATGATAGAGGTGAATACCACGATACTTTTTCATTAAATCATGAACAATATGAGACCATTTTTGATGAGATTGTTACATTGACAAATAATTACAAGAAAACAACTCTATAGTATGCTAACTTACAATTTTATTATATTTCCCTAGGCACAAAATAAATTATTAGAATCCGAACAAAAATTAGAATTGTTACGTATGTCATTGAAGCAACGTTTGACAGAATTGGCTAAAGTATCTGGTTACTACGAATCTCCAGAAACTTTATTAGAGAAAACTAGCCTTAAAAGTAGATCTAAAACAATGAGCTTACCAGCTATGACTGGTAACTTGACGGTTAATTTGATGGGAGTACAAGGACTACTTGAAGTTATACCTGGACGAACGAAAAAAGATCACATTGATAGTCCAGTTCATGAGAGCATATTCTCACGGAAGCATCAAAAACGACCGGTTGATGACGGAACTAGAAGCAGTAAGTGATCATAGAACGACTGTACTGACCAATGCATTTTATTACTTTTAGATCTATTATCATTTAGCTCTTTAAAAGAAGCAATGAGTGAATACTCATATACTCATTGATTACTCTTGTAGCTGAAGTACGTGCTGTGTTAAAAATTGATCATAATGTCGTCGGGCAAACAAATTGGAAACCTGCTAGCCCTCAATCGTGGGACCAAGAATTTAACTTAAGATTAGAAAAAGTAAATCTTCGCCCATCAATAATCCACCGTGATATCCTTTTAAGTTATATTCGCTTATAATTATGACAAGTACTACTATATAATAACTAACGTGCAATTTCTCGATGATATAGTCCCGTGAATTAGAAATTGATATATGTTGGAAAGATTATCGGGATCTATGCGGCTTAGTAATCTTTCGACTTGAAGATTTTTTGGATAATCGGAGGCATGTTTTGTGTGTACCGTTGGAACCTCAGGGAATACTAATGGCAGAGGTAACTTTATATAATTAATTAATTTTTTAATTATAATAGTGTAACGTCGTTTATGATACCTGATTGCAGAACTTAGGCTGCAGCTTAAGCTATATATATATATGCATTTAGGTGCATGTATCAGTAATAATTACTGTCTTCTCCAAAAAATTAACGAAGTTTCCACTGATGCATTAAGGTAACATTCGAAAATCCACTATGTCAGCGGAGGCCTAATTTGCAGCGTCAGAAAATATATAAGGGTACGTCTTGCCGTAAAATGATATCCTGCAATGCTTATCAGATATCGCTATAGCCTCATCATTTCTTAAATATAATAACTATATACATATACATTTACGTATATATTCATATCGCAAACCAGAGGGTAGAAACTTCGAACGAGCTTCTCAATTGCAAACTAATGTCAGAACTTGGGCTCGATTGCTTAAAAGAAACGTTAAATCGTCCCCAGAACATGTTCAGAGAAATCGAAAGCCACCAAAATCTGTAATAGTAGATCCTGCTGCGCATAGTGGTAGTTCGTCGCCGAGTGGAAAAGAACGTACGCCTAAATCACCCAATAAAGAAGAGCGACCTAAAACTGAAAATAAAACTGTTGTTCCTATATCTAACACGGTAAAGTAGTTTTCTATCGAAATTAGGAATGAGCGTACAGCTACTTTTAAAAGTTGATCATCATATGCAAGCTAATTTATGACGGTTTCTTGTTGTACATATTGCTGGGCAGCCTTCTATTGTTAGCGAAGATACAAATTCTTTAGCCGCATCTGCTGAGAGTACAACTAGTGGTGCCTCCGATGATCGTTCAGTATCGCCAACAAATATTATGGGCTTGGAACAGTTTAATTTTATGAGTGTGCTCGGTCGTGGACATTTCGGAAAAGTATGATTATGATATAATTTATGTAAATATGATTGTAAACAATCTCTTTTTTTATCATAATTGGATGTTGTTAAATATTCTTCTATTAATACTAGTCCTCAATGTCAGCTACTGTTACTACTTTACATACCGACTTGTATAGGGTGTATAACATTATTATCTTTTATTCTGACTAGGTGCTACTTGCAGAATATCGAACTACTGGTGAAGTATTCGCTATTAAAGCGTTGAAAAAAGCTGATATAATCAGTAGAGAAGAACTGGATAGGTATTCAAAGCATTGATTGTACACGTTTTGTAAGTAACTTCCTGTAATATCCTAATTACAAATAAAATTTTTGTAGCTTAATGAGCGAAAAGAGAATATTTGAAATTGCTAATGCCATGAGACATCCATTCTTAGTTAATTTATTCGCTTGCTTCCAGACAAAAGTAAGCTTATGCTATTACTATTATAATTATTCAAACGTTAAGGCCATGTTATGTACAAATTTCATTTAAACAACTTAACATATACACGATTTTTATGTCTTAGGAACACGTATGCTTTGTGATGGAATACGCCTCTGGTGGTGACTTAATGATGCATATCCACAATGATGTATTTACAGAGACTCGAACAATGTATGCACTCTAAATATTTTATCTAAAAATATGAAGTAATACGCTACGCATCATATAAAATAAGATATCGTTTCGTCTAGATTTTATGCCGGCTGCGTTGTACTCGGGTTGCAGTATTTACATGAACAGGCAATCGTATACAGGTAAAACCTAACAACTTGCCATGGAAGTAAATCTTATTCCATGCATGATTATAACGATTATTAACACTTTCTCGTAAATTCATCATTAGGGATTTAAAATTAGACAATTTACTGCTGGACTCCGATGGATATGTTAAAATAGCTGATTTTGGTCTTTGTAAAGAAGATATGGGATATGGTGCTAGAACCAGCACATTTTGTGGGACACCTGAATTTTTAGCTCCTGAGGTATTTACGTAGATGCAAATGAAGTTATTTCTATTTGTGGAAATTGAGTTTGCTAAACAACTAGAAATATTGCTACTTAATTATTAGGTACTTACTGAAACTTCTTATACAAGAGCAGTCGATTGGTGGGGACTAGGTGTTTTAATTTTTGAAATGCTTGTCGGAGAGGTAATTCATCTTTGCTTATTTCAGTGTCCATTTCGTTCGTAATAAAATTTTATCATATGATCACAATTAGTCGCCATTCCCAGGAGACGATGAAGAAGAAGTTTTTGATAGTATTGTCAATGATGAAGTTCGATATCCTAGATTTTTATCAACGGAAGCAATCGCAATAATTAGACGGGTTTGAGATATTTAATGGAATAATTTATAACTGGATAACCCTTATCGAGTCGATCAAATAACAAAGTAATTGTATTGAATCACGTAGCTCCTTCGTAAAGTACCGGAACGAAGACTCGGATCGAGTGAAAGGGATGCTGAAGATGTAAAAAAACAGCCTTTCTTTAGAGTAAGTAAATTAATTATTGTTATTTAGTAATCGTTACAGTAGGACCATACTAACTTATTAATTAAAAATTTTAGTCAATTAATATGGAAGATTTACTAATGAGAAAAATCAAGCCACCTTTTGTTCCTGTCATAGTAAGTTAGGCGAATAATGCCTTCGAGTTTTGATGGATGTATTTGGATTTTGCCCTATTGTAAACTTATACTTTTTTTGTAAATTTCATAAACTATAAAGAAATCAGTAGAAGATGTTAGTAATTTTGATGAAGAATTCACGTCAGAAGATCCTACATTGTCACCTCCGGCTAGTGGGCATCAACTAACAACAGAAGAACAGGTATTTTTCATTGGATAGTATGTTATAATTTTACATTTAAGCTATTTCAGAAGATTTTTTAATTTGTTAGTAGTCCTATGTTAATGATATACTGTATGCAGTTTATTGCGTTTCAACTACATTAGCTACTTAACACATACTTTTCTTACCGTTTAGGAGATTTTTGCCGATTTCGCTTATACCGCAGATTGGTGCTAGGAAAGGAATTCAATTTTATTTTACTTTTGACTATAAGAAGCAAACATGGATAGATTTTAATTAAAGACAGTAAGCAATGTATAAAAAGATGCCTGGTAGACTTTAATATGTACTGTTGTGCACAATATTTATGTACAAAGTTATGTTCTTGTATCGCTATGTATAGGAAGCGATAAATAATTTTTAGGTAATTAAAATAGTTTGTCGTAAACTGTGTTAGTTTTCACTATAAACAAAATCATTGTTGTCATACCTAAGATTTATATCCATCCATAAATGCATCAATCTGACACAAGAGCATTTTGACCATGGTCGTATCGCGATTTATATTGGAGAAATAATTAGGATATAGTTTCTAAAATTATAATGAGCACCTTTGCACATTATTTGAAATTACAAATTATCTAAATTTTAAATTTTTGATGCCTAGATAGATGGCTTGTACAGAATGTGACTTTTATCGTGACTTTTTATTGTATGAAGTCTTTTTAGAACTTACAGTTTGTGAACTAGGCATACGAACTCAATATTGTAAAAAAACGCATGCCAGGTGTGTGCGCTTTTAGTTGTTATTTCTTGCAGTGTAAAGTATAACCGAATGCCAACGATATTTTGGCTTTTTCAGACTTTTGTTCTTATTGAGTTTTTGTGTTATATTAGTTATGAGAGATGTTTACAGAATGAATTTGTTGTAATATTAATATTCATGAAGTGCCGCTATGGTTATCAAAGATGTAGTTAAGCAATTGCTATACTACGGTTATGCATAATTTCCATACCGGAATATTTTTATATTAATAGGATGTACTATATTTATTTGATGACAGCAACACTCTTTAAGGCAGAAGATAGTAATCGTAACTGATAATAGAAAATTTAAAATAAAAATACAATTCTAAGCGGTATAAAAATGTTAATGATTTATATAGTACTATTAAGGTAATGCTAGTGTAACTAAGAATATTGTATACGTTATCGTTAAACCTTAATTATTTAATCGATTAACTGCATCATTATATATTGAAAGTAACTTTACTGTTCAATTGAGATGATAAATCTAACTTGTTATAAACTGTTACGTAGTATTAATTGGTTGGATATGTACTAATCGCTATTATGGACATTATTTTTTTTAATAAAAAATACAAATTTTATCGATATATCAACTATGCCGAGCTTGGAGATATACCGGTGATGAATAAGTACTTTAACATTTATCCAAATTCATGCTCAAAGTTGTAACATAGGGAAAATTAATGCAGCTTTCTATGCCAAATAGCATTAATTATAATTGAGGAAATTGTGTATAGGGTCAGTTTAAAAATTTCATCATGTAGCATTTTCTATTATACTCCATAATCAGTACGTGGATAAACATCACCATAACCGCGTTAATTATCATAACAGGCTCAATAAAGTTAATAGCATCATCTAATTGAAGCTAAGGTTTTGCTATTAACCTCTAACAAAGATAAATGGGCAATCACGCAGATATATTTATCAATCGTGATAAATCTGAAGTACACCGACAGCAACAAGATATGTTTGCTTCAAAAATAGAGTAAAAGTTAAAGGTGTATCCCGTAATAAGCGATATATGATATCTTAGTTCCCGATCTAGAACCTTTTAATTTTACTAATTAAACGAAATTCTGCATTATCTATTAATAGCTTTGCTACATTTTACTTAAGTACAAGCACATATATCTAATAGAATCGAATCAAGAATAGAAACGATTAATATGCAGTTACATCACGAAGCTATTCTTACTTTATCGAAGTTATTAATAAAGAATTCAAGGCTGTGACGGATTTACTACCTTTTAAATGTCTATTCTGTAGAAAATAATGCTGACTTACTGCATTTCTAAGTACTTTAGGGCTTAGATTTTGGAATTATTCCTGATAATCTATTCAATTGCTTCAGTCATTCATTTAGCTGCAGAAAAATTTCCAGTTTATTAATTCCATGCAGTTTAAATATTATACAGGATCGTATTGATTACGAACGTTATAATATCTAAATCGCAATTTCTAGATGTAGCTGTTGCCGTTGTATTTTTCAATTATGACTCATTAATATTGCCTATTGTACTTAATTGCTTAGTTAAACTTTGTTATTATTATGGTTACTATTTTTCTTCTCCTTTTCTACCTTTCAATGAATGTATTCCTCATTCTATTACTTTTTACTTCGTTCATATATTAGTAGATTTTATTCTTTTTCTCTTACCCGATTTATAAATATCACCATTTCAGATATGAATAGCTATAAACATAGATGCATAACATAAATTCTGGCAATAGCCATCGATTAAATGAAATGGTAAGAATAACATATTTTTTAAGAAATGAAAAATCTCAGTTAACATTCAATTAAATAGGATTTAGTAAGCCACAGATTTATTTGATTAAAGAATAAAATTTCTAAAGAAGAACAGCAGTATTGTGCGATATCTGTGTGAATTGCAATTAATAACATATGCCAGGTTTCCACATTATCAAGATAAAATTTTTCACCTTGGTAGTAAGATATTAATTTCGTTTGATAGGTTGTATCTTTGAAGAAATGATTGTTGAAATATAACGAAGATATAATTAATAATATGAGATGAAAGTGCGGCACTGATTGCCAATTATTCGAATGCATCTATCACTTCGATATAGTTTATGCGATTAATTGAATAATAAAATTATCGAAACAAAGCATAAACTTAAATTTAATTCCATTTAATTTTAACATGAAAAGATAGCTGCAATGCAGCGGATTGGTGAAATTGTAATAACCTTTACTTATTTCATAATGCAACTTCCTATTAATCAGTGATGCATACGAAGATTATTATTAATTTTCTTTATATGATATACTGAGAAATTGTATTTTATATTGACATTTTATGCATTATGTTTTATCGTAAATTGTTACAGTAATTTGGATCGAAAAAAATGATAGTCTTGACGTTATAGAAGGAGATCATTTCGTAAAGTAATAAAGGTTTATGCTTTAGAGTAGATAAAATGCTGTTGTATTTTAATTTACGGTTATGTTTTGTTGATAAGTTAAATAAATCGAATTTAATATATTCCTTCACTATCTTGCGTTATTCGTTACAACAGAGAGTAGAAATAAATAGATAGATTTCTATCATGATTATTAGAATTAAAAGTAATTTTTTAATTAGTAGATAATTGCTAACAATAGTGTCTGGATAATTTAATTAGTATGTCATACTGTACTAAAGTCATGTAAATAGTGAAGGAGAAAGGCTATTGATTTTCTATCGATTCTTTAGAGTGACATAAATAAAAACCAATTTTGACTTTTAAAATCGAAATTAAATCGGCTCCATTTGTTTATTCTATGCGATTTCTGCAAATAATGTAAACTTTATTAATTTGATATATTAAGAAATTGAAATCTAGTAAATATCTGTGGAATTTAATTAGAGATGAGAAAGTTAACATTTTTATAACAATATTTAATACTGCAAAAATATAGTGCTAACATTGGATATCCTAATAGTTCATATCACATTGGTAATACACTATACTAATAAATGTTCTAGTAAAGACTTCAAGAATTAATTTATGANAGCAAACCATAAGTTTTTTAAAAAGTTTCAAGCATCTTTAAGCTTACTAGTATCGAATACGATAATAATTATAATATACGTGATTGTGAAAGAATAGACGAGAAATAGAGTTTTCTTTAATTATATCTTCTTCCATTGATTCAGTCATCTTGTTCATCACAACGATCCTTATTTCATCAATAATTGAATATCTCAACTGGGAAAAATTATTGATAGTTTTCTTTCAAATTCAATTCTTTTATGAAAGCTGAAATTATCTACTGCAAATGCTGACCATAAAATTCAATTTATTTAATTATGACGACTTTCTTTATTATTATATTCGTTTTCTTCCCCTATTAATAATATATAACTAACAAAGGTTGATATCTATCTCGAATGTATTTATTAATAAATTCAAGTTTTTATTTTCATTTATTATTAATATATTTTTAATTAATATCTATCAAGATGTTATTTTAACGTTCTATGCAAATGTTGTTATCTAATTAAAGTGATTAATAGAAAACATTTTTTTTATTTTAATTACATAATGAATGAATGAAATTATTTTTTTTAGTCTTTCATCTTGAGTATAATACAAGGTTAAAATCTAATTCACATATTTATTAACATTAGGAATTGAGAAATGATTAATATCCATTCGGCAGATATTGTTGTTGATATTGAAACAATAGTTTAATTACCGTTAATGTCGATGGAATCTATTGAAATTTTACTTTAATTAATTTCGATAATTATTCAACGCTTGAAACATGATATTATACCTATTGATTCTCACTTTTTATACTTCCACGTATTTTAGTTGATGATATTCTACTTGTAAAGATTGACAATCCAATCTCTTACGTCAATTCAACATTGCAATTAAACTATTATGTAGGTTTTTCCATTCATTCGCTTAACTTGATATATCGATAGCAATAGTGATGCAGAATTCATTATCTATTTAATCTACATGTAGATATACGACGTCTAAGCTTCTGTAGTCGAAGGGTATCGAACTAATACGATTTTAAATCATCAGCACAATCGTTGGATAAAAATACTAGTTTAATTGAGCAATTGAATAAATTTTGATGCTTTGCTCAAGCCATAACGGACTAGCTGAATAATTTCAATCATAAGTTGGATTTGAATTAAAATCTGTTATTTCTTCACGTCTACATCCAATCATTTGAAGGTAAGTTGAAGAAATAAATAAATAATCTTGTCATAAAATTCTGTTTGAAAATGTTGTAGTCATGATATCAATATTGACCAAATCGGAGTCCTTTTTCTTGACGAAATGGTCCCTCTAGTACACTTATTCGGATATGGTTGTTTGGTATTTCTACCTTTTTACTTTAAAATTTTGATATATAGCTCTGCATGGTAAATTCCCTTGTAGATACACTTTTTGTTGTG